GCATATAAAATCGCAAAATTGACAGCGATATACATTAGGTAAGACACGAGATTAATTGACTTTAGTTTGGAGTTTTGAACGACGATCGTTGAAGCAACCGACTGTATCGTTTTTACAAGGCAGAAGAAACGAAAATAATAAAAATAATATTAATATTAATAATAATAAAAAAGAATTATTAATAATAAAATAATAATAATAATAATAATAATAAAGAGGAAAAAGCAACGATCAGTCAGATAAATAGTATAATGAAAATAATATTAAATGAATGTGCCTTGATGTACTTTAAAGTAGAAGATAGTCTACTTCGTATGGGGAGCATATGATGTTACGGATTTAATAATAATAGTTATAATTATAATAATGTTAATAATAATAATGATAGTAATATAAAATAATAATAGTTAATAATTAATAAGTATTAATAAAAATAATTATATTAATATAGTAATGGTATTAATAATAACGATAATAGTTAAATCTATAACAACAGCTTAAACTAAAATTTTTTTCCGTTTAATTTATACTTGACACAAATGTTATTATAGATTTAGTTATTAACGTAAGAAGTATATGTAGCATGTATATATACAAAATAATGTATTTCGATCTTCAAATTCACTACGTTATTTAGGCACTTTCGGTTAGCTCAATTTGCTTTGTTACTTTATTCGTAGAACTGACTCATATTGTGAAAGTGAACATTTTCCACCAAGAAATCTCTTCTTAACGATCTCTGAAGAAAAAGACGGAAATAAAAAGAAAAATAAGACGAATGAAAATACACGCCGACTCATTCGATTCGTCGTTTCATTTTCTCGAAACAACACTTATGTTTCAAGCATAAAAATATTTTGCCGATGGACAGAAGCACTCTCGAAATTACGCCGTCTTATTGTCCTAAGCTCACTCTCACTTTCTGCCGATGCATGCATATGTTTTTCTCTGTCTTTCTGTTTCTCTCTTTCGTTCGCTCTCTTCGTAACAGAAAATTCTTTTTTTTTTCTAAGTTTTAATAACAATTGTAATAATAATTATATAAATTATAAATATTAGTGGCAGAAAATGGTAGAAATGTTACCAATCTCGTACGTACATACATTGTTCTCCATCTTATAAAAAGATCTGATATAATTATCGTGTTAGAAATATCAATTAGTATTGTAGAGAGTTTGAGCAAGGGGAAAGAAACGAAAAAAGCATACAACATATCGAACGAAAGCGAGAGCGAGCGCCAATTTCGTGATTGATTAAAAAGAGAAATTAATTTACCGAGATTTGTTTCATGGTACGAGCTTTCAAACAAACAAAAGGTCGTTTCTGTAGACGTTACTATTATTGTAAAATCTTTTTCAATTTTTAGTCTCGAAAAGTCGGTATAAAAAAAGACCTTTCTCTGTTTCTTCTGTTTTAACCAAAAATTTAGAAAACCAATTAAACCACGTCGTACGTCCGATGAAGTTTCCTTCGGTCCAACAAGCTCAGAAAACGAAAAAGAATCAAAAACGTCTCGCGATCAAAACATTTAAAAATCAATTAAAAACAAAATCGTAAAAATAATTTTGATGCTGGTGAGATATTTTTGTTTCGTTCTGAAGACGAAAATTTTTCTCTCAAAATGTATAGAAAACCAGATGTCAACGTATCCCCCCAGCGTGTAGCGTGTCTCGTGTATGAAATTCGTCTTGAACGTGTAAAACGATTGAAAGCCCTGATGAATTCTCGTCTACAAAAATATCTAACATCGTGTAACTTATTCTTAAACGAGCACACATTTTCGTTCACTCGATGGACAGGTTCGTTCTGAATTCATGATACCACGTACGCTCACACATACACACACAATACGCCACATCAAACGCGCGCGTGATCATGAACGCATCACTTTCTCTCATTATCTTCCTTTTGCTCACTTCCTTGCTGTCACCGTTCAATCTTTACCTCTCTTTCATTCTGTCCAGATTACACCACAAGATCATATACTCATCATTACATACAAACAGGCAAACATACTCTTACTCGTTCTAACGTTGGAAGACAATTGGAGTTTTTTATACCATTTAATTTGCATAGCATGATCTGTAATTGTTGATCTGTCTTGCATACTTTATCACCTAATCTTCACACAATTTGTTCATATTCATATATAAAAATATACGTGCACATGTATATATATTTACATAAATATTTATACAAATATATACTTATATAAATGTTTACATAAATATATATTACAAATATATATTTATATAAATATTTATACAAATGTGTGTGTGTGTGCGCGCGCGCATATATATATCTATATATATATATATATATATATCTTCCTCTCGATCTACTTTGCTTTTGTTATTTTTCTCTCGCGACTCGATCTTGCCTCCCTTTCACTCTCGGATACAGCTTTCCCCTCCCGTCTTTTCGCAAGAAGAAAATGAAGAAACTGTTTTGGAATATTGCAACATTTCACCTGCCCCGGATAGAAGAAGCTTCGTTCTCGCGAGAATCCGAAACGCGTGGACGAAAAGCAAAACGAACGAGCAAGGACAAAAATCGAGGCTCGGATATGGCAAGCGGAATGAAACGAGACGCGATTGGCGCGGATCTACGCGAGCCCAAGAGAAATCGAAGAATGAAGTCACAATTCGAGTGGACTCTGGTCCGTCTCGTTCCGTATCCACTACTTCCATCGCCGATATTTTTTTTTCTTTTCTGGATATTCTTACGATTCGCGATATCCATGCTCCCGGATCTCTTCGTTTTTTTTTTTTTTTTTTTTTTTT